TTATATTATCTTGCTGTATGTATGTCGTTTTCTTCACGTTTTCTGACTAAAAGCAACCAAAAAACCATTTTAAAGTGGTTAAGCAAATTATAATAATAATAATCGGCAGGGATCCCAGACCAATACAATTAGTGTGCCTCCTCCATTTTAAAACCCACGAGCTGCCACTGGTGACAATATAGTTGAGATAAAAATACATAAGATCAGAACAATGCAAATGCATAAAAGCAACAGTCTTTTGTCTTTCTGTGTGCAAAATACATTAAAGTGACATTGTGAATAAAATAAAGTGTAACCATATATTTTAAATGGCAACTTCATCATTACAAATGTGTACAGATATATTTAAATAAATGTAATACAAGCTTCAATAGAAACATTAAAGTATATTTTAGTTTACTATAAATGGTTGTCTGTAGATTTGACAGTGCACTTTAAAGGGGTCCTATTATGCTCTTTTACAAAGTCTTGATTTTGTTTTAGGGGTGTACAAGAACAGGCTCTCATACTAGGTTGTTCAAAAAACACATAATTTTTCACATATTTTACATTATTACAACACCTCTCTCCCCAGTCTGGCATGAATGGCTCGAATAGTTCCTGTATCAAATGAAGGCCCGCCTTCTGAAATACGAAATGTGCTGTGATTGGTTAGCTGAGCCAGTGTGTGTTGTGATTGGCAGCACTCGGCGCCTGGTCGGGAAACGTCATGCCCCTTACCATAGCCGCCTGCTGCGAGCTTCAGTGTAAATATTACATCATAATCAAATCAATTTGAGCGCGATTTAACCCCAGATGATTGTAACCACTCTAAGTTCGTCTGCCTTGGGAAAGCTAGCGCGTCTCCGACATAGTGATAACACTTGTTGCCTTCTCTAGTGCAGCTCAACCAGGTCTCGTCCCATTCGTCGATCTTTGTGATATCACAAATCCCGGAAAATATGCGTTGTAGTCCAAACGAGTCGTTCGTTGTAGTTTTTGAAAAGTTGAAAAGATTTCTGTTAAATAAAATATCTCCTGTTGAAGTGGACTTTGAGCTTTGTAACTTCACAGGTCTTTTTTATGCTCAAACAGCAACATTACAGACTAACTAAAGTTGAAAAGCTTTTCTATCGCGAATGTGCCGAATCTGCTGATGTAATTACAACCGCTAGGTGATATAGAAGGGTAGGGGGAGGCCGGGGGAGAGCTCAGCTCTCGTGCCTCCGTTGGTAAAAAAAATTAGCCAGTCATCATCGAGTGTTCACTTTAATGCGTTGTAGTCCAAACGAGTCGTTCGTTGTAGTTTTTGAAAAGTGATTTCTGTTAAATAAAATATTTCCTTTTGAAGTGGACTTTGAGCTTTGTAACTTTGCAGATCTTTTTTATGCTCAAACAGCAACATTACAGACTAACTAAAGTGAAAAAGCACAATAGGACCCCTTTAACTATTTAAAGATTGCATATTAATAGAAATAATAATGAAATTACATATAAATGTGTAAATACACTCTTACAGTTCAGGTAATTGCATTTAATATAAATTTAAACTATAATACATTATAATAATTAACATGCAATGAAGTGTTTAAAAACATAACATTCAATTCGTACTTAAATATATTCTTTTAAATTACAGTGTTTTGTGACACACTATCATGACACAAAATATAAAATCATGATCCAAACATAAAATATGTCATGCTTCAACAACATGGGGAAAGCTGTGGGTGTACTATAGGTATCAAACCAGGCTTTTGTATCTTACAGTCCAGCCTCCTCCATCAGTCTCCATGTCACAGTAGACCCAGACTGGCTCTCCATCCTTCCCTTCAGGGTAAATCTCAGCCTCTCCTGACTCCTTCATCCCGTTGACCTGTACCTCTGAGCAGTCTGTGGGGTATGTGTGCGGGAGCTGGGCTACAGCGCAAGAATAAAGAAAATCAAATCTATGAAAGATAGAACACAACCAGGGGTGAAATTGAGTTAGTTATGAAACGGAACATTACACACCAGTGGTAAATTCAGCAAAGACAAAACTGATGTACTGTCCATCTCTTTCTCCCTCTATTTTCACAGTATAGTTTGAAAAGGCTGCCAGTCCAGTCAGCTCATAACGCGTCACAGATGGATTTAAAATCACCTCCTGTTAATGCGAAGCAGGGGTCAGTGAAAATTGTGGGAAGGCTGCTAAATTTATCTTGGGTGCTATTGAGTTATTGATATAATCACCTTGACTTCCTCGCTCAGTTGGTATGTGAGCCTATAACTTTTGAAAGCCACACGGGGAGCCCTCCATGAAATCACAGCTGAGTGAAAGGTCACCTCACCGGGAGTCAAAACCTGAAGTTTCACTCCTGGAAAACATACAGGCATGAAAAAGGATAAAAACAAGATATGGCAGCTTCTGTAGAGAATATTGGACTAAAATGGCGAAAAGGTGTATTTTAGTAATAAATAATCAGTTTTGTTCTGTTCATCACACAATTTTGTCGTACCAACTGTGACCATATAACAAGTAAAACTAAGGATGTCAAGTTGATATTACAGATTTTTGTGTTATTAGGGCCTATATCGGCTGGTATTGACTTTTAATATTGACCATTTAGTTATTATCAGTCTCAACACTAAAATCTTTTTAAATTGCTTTTATGTTACTTCTATAGTGTTTTTGTGTCATTTAGTGTACTTGAGGTAAGTAAACAGAATTGTGACCGTTTACGCACCACTTCCTGTTGTGAAGGTTGTGGAGACTGGGCTACTCTGGAGCCGGTTGACTTGACTTTTGATTTTCACCATGTATAAAGAAGATCTGTGGAGTCCTCTGAGTTGATGCTCCACAGTACTGCCAGATAATGTCACTGTAATAGTCACATTAGGAGCTAGAAAGCAAAAAAACGCAAAAAAAAAAAAAAATTTTAATAAGCAATGACGGTTTAGTGTAGAACCGGCCATTTAATAAGCCTGACTGCACTTACATTTTGTAGTTCCATAACTGAGTATGTAGCTGTCCACTTTAGCATGTGATGGTTTCCATACCAGCAGAGCTTTAGTGTCTGTGATGTTCACCACCTTTAGTTCAGTAGGAGAATCCGGCACTAGGATTTATAGAAATGTGAAAGAGACATCAGTGACCCCAAAACATCAGCATCAACCATAATATCAAGTGAAAAGAAACAAAAAACAATAAGCATTCTTCGCACCTGTTGCGACAAAGGCTGTGACTGGCTCGCTTTCGAGTGTCTCCAGAACTGAGCTCACAGTAATGTCATAGGTGGAGCCAGCAGAGAGCTTAGACAGGAGAACATGGGACAGCTGGGAGTCAACAGACATGGAGCCACTCTCACCTGCAGTATAAAAAGGTAAAGCATTTTAAAATCATCAAAATCATCATGTATTGTGAGGGTGCACACAGTAGCACTTAATAGTCATAGCAGAAATGCAGGATAACTCAAAGACATTTACAGTACCAGTTACAGTGTTGGTGTACGTGACTTTAAATTCTGCTACTATGCTTTTAGGTTTTGTCCATGATACTGAGAAGGAAGTCTCTGTTATATTGCTGAACATCAAGTCAGTGGGTGGTTCAGGGCCTGGACAAAATGTCAAAATGTCAGAAAGTCATAAAGCACAGTCAAAGAAAATCTCAAAGTTGGTGCAGTTTTAACTGAAGTCAATGACATTTAAAATATCACCACAAATGTATGTTTTAGAGTTCTGAGACATTTATATTCCTGCATAAATATGCCATATTATCCAAGTAATCAATTGGTGCATTCAGTCTTAAAATGATTTAATGGTGAATTTTGAATATCACCATTCACCAATACGGTACACATCATTCATTTTAGCAGTGGAAATTCTATGTTAAGTTGACAGCCAAAGAAAATCTAAGGCTGTTTTGTGCTCCTGATTATGCCTAGTATTTATGACTAAAATAGAGTAAGTGGGTCTTGCCAACATCAATATTTAAAATGCACAAGGTACCGTATTCCATGCATTCATTAGAGATTTAAGCATACTTAAGTGCTGCCAGCACACCGCAGGAGAGTAAATGCTCTTCACTGGTGTTTATTGCAGTGAACCAAAGCAGGAAGTATGGGAAGCCTACCTGTGGATAATGTAAGGCGGTGAATTTTGGATCGTATGCCAAGACCAGAGCCAAACAAGGAAACCGAGTACCGCGTCTGAGGTTGAAGGCCTTTGAAATGATACAACCGTGCTGTACCAGCAAGAACTTGGGAGAACTTTTTCACAGTATTTCCTTCAGGTTTGCTACTTTGGACTTTAGTTGATGTTATGTTTAAACTGGGCCTTTGGACATCTGTTATATTTACAGCCGCTGCTCCATCCTGAATTTTCTCAGAATCTTCATTTCCTCCTCTGATTTCCCTTCTTGATATAGTGAAGTTCTTGAACATGTCTCGATGAGCTTCCCAAGACATAATGAACCCGGTAGAAGTGATATTATGAACCTCAACTGATCCAATGACTGATAATCTGCTGATAGTTTTGTTAAAATGCTTTGTACGAGTTTTGGATTCAAAACGTGTCCCATTTACATGCTTATCAGACTTCTTCTCTGCTTGGAGAGTTGTTGTTACATTGCTGTGCAATAGCTTCTTTTCTTTTCCAGTAGATGTAATATTAATAGTCTTGCTTTCTTTTGCTTGATCACCTACAGTTCTAATAGTGACCTTTGTCTTGGACACAGTTGAATTAGATGAGTCTTTGGTGCCTTTAAACACATTCTCTAAAACATTGGAGGTTCCATTAACCTTCTTTCCAGATCTCTGAGTCGCGTTCTGATAGACAGGCTCATCTTTAAGATTATTTTTCTTGGTCAGTTCAGTTTGTGATTGTTTGTCTAAATCTAGTTTTATGATTGTTGTTTTGCCTTTTTTTACTTGCTCTTGACGTCTTCTACCTTCATGGTTTAGCAGAACTTGACCAATAGTCTTAATAACCTTGTCTCTCTTTGTGGTATTGGACTGGGCTTTACCTGGAGACACGGTTGGACTTGGCTTCACTGTTGGCTTGGCTGTGGTGTTTGTCTTTGGGTCATTTGTGTCTGTCTTTTTCACGAATATGGTCTTGTCTGGCTTTGTCTTCACATGTTTTGTATCAGTCTTGGCAGTGGGGATCTTCATAGCCACTGTTTCAACTGTTACTGTGATCTTCTTGTCAACAGCTGGGGAAATAATTTAGAGAGAGACTTAAATACATTCTTACTTGAATAGTTCAGCCCAAAATGAAACACAACATGAAATATTTAGCAAAATGTTCCTGCTGCTCTTTTACTCACAATGAAAATGGTTTGGGAGCATGGTCTGTTAATGGTGCAGTAAGCGCTTTCTGAGAAACACTGTCGATATTTGAAACTGACACCCAAACACATCCAACACACCCTCGCCTTCATAGCTCTGTCCCCAAATTCACAAACATGCTGTCCAACACAGGCAACAACTAACAGTTGGTAACAGAAAGCTTGCGCAAGTATGGATTAATCAGTCCTATTACTATAGCTAATATTACAACAGCGTATCTTGATTCTGTGAAACATCACAAAACCAAAGTTACTCAGGTGTTTGAGTAACTTCATGCTCACGTCTCTTCAGCACTGGAAAGATTTTCCAATATTAACTTATTGAAACCCTTCTTTTTCCAGGTATATTTCTCTTACCAGTGTGCTGTGGTGCTCAGTCTGATCAGTACAATCCACTTTGTTTTTCCCCTATTTACAGCCAGGACACCATTTTTTTTCAACACACACACAGAACAGACTGCTAGCAAATATTCACAAAAGTGTTGATTTGAATTTTCAACAGTGTTTCTCAGAAATCGCTTACTGCTCACCATTTACCTTTAAGCTCTAAAATTATAAAAAGCACCATTAACGTAGATCATCTTACATTAAATTTTCCATCTGTTTCTCAAAATAAGGCTTAAAAAGACTAGGAATAGTGTATAGGTCATATGGACTAATTTTATGATACTTTTATCATGCTTTTTCAATCTTTGGAGTTCGACAGCCACTCGTCACAATTCACTTTCATTGTATGGAAAACAGCAGCATGGACATTCTGATAAAATTCTCCTTTTATGCTCTATGAAAGAAAATCATATTGGAACAACATTTACATGAGTAAATTATGATTATCAGATTTTCATTTTGTAGTGAATCATTCCAATTAACATTAAAGTTTAACAGTCTTGTACTATCATATGCCTTACTTACCCTTACTGCAGTCTAGGCCTGTATAACCAGTCTGACACACACACTTTCCCTTCACACACTTCCCTTTTTTGTTGCACTTAGAGGGGCAGGTTTTGACACTGCAGTCTGGGCCACTAAAACTCTGGAAACAAACACACTTTCCATCTTCACACTTGCCCTGGCCACTACAGTTTTTAGGGCATTGCTCTCCTGAACACTGAACACCTGAAGATAGATGATACAGTGTGTGAATTATAACCTGTTGAACAGTTTCATACACATTTTTGATTGCTAATGCTTGTTTTACCATTTACCAGTGCCATTGTTATGGTTAACTAAAGATGTTAAGATCTTTATTAGTGCATAACTTTACTTACACATTTTTTTAATTGCTGCCATCTCCTTCTCAAGAAACTCAACTCTGTCTCTCAGTGTGGCCATCTCAGTTTCACAGCTTCCTGTGCAAGCTCCTTGAACCAAGTTGATGTGATGAGTCATTACCAGAGGAGATCCAGGATTTAAACTGAGCTCCGTTTCTCGTACTTTGGTTACGTTACCTGAGTCTGTCTGAGACTCCTGAGGAATGCAACCCTTAGTGATGACTACTTTAACTGGTAAACTCTCTGCAGGTTTGTCTTTAGTTGGATTCTGGACTCTATCGACCACAGGCTTTGTGGTAGATGCAACAGTCTGATTGACATGGCTAATTTCTGAGGAAGTAGATTTAGTTTTAGTTTTAGTTTTGGTGTTTAATGATGTGGTTACTGGTTTTGACCCATTAACATTAATAGTTTGGGGTGTTGACTTGACAGTAGAATTTTTTGTCCTGCTAAGAGTACTTTCAACATCTGGCTTTGTGGTGGATGTGAGAGTGTGATTGACACTGCTAATTTTTGAAGAAGTAGACTGAGTTTGGTTTATCGTTTTGGTGATTAATGATGTAGTTAATGTCTTCAGCGGATTAACATTAATACTTTTGGATATTGATTTTACAGTAGAATTTTTCTTCTTGCTAATTGTGCTTTCATCCACATCAAGCTTTGAGGTAGATGGGAGCATCTGATTGATACTACTAGTTTCTGAGGAAGTTGGATGAGTCTGGTTTTTCATTTTGGTATTCACTAATGTCGTTAGCTTGGGAATATTATGACTAATAGTTTGAGTCGTTAACTTGGAAGTAGAAGTTTTCTTCTCGCTAATTGTGCCTTGAAGAGAAGGCCCAGGTTTCTGGACATCTACAACAGGCTTTGGTGTGGATAAGAGAGTCTGACCAACGTGACTAGATTTTGATGAAACAGAATTAGTTTGGTTTATCACTTTGGTGTTTACTGACTTTGAAGCATTAACATGAATAATGTGGCCTGCTGACTCGGTACTAGTATTTTTCTTCACGCCAGTTGTTGCTGGAAGAGAAGACACAGGTTTCTGGACAACATCTACAGCAGGCTTCAAGGAGGATAGAAGAGTCTGATCAGTGGTACTATTTTTTGAGGAAGTAGATTGAGTTTGGTCTTTCATTTTGGTCTTTTGTAATGTAGTTACTGGTTTCTCAGCATTAACATTAACACTATTGACTGTTGACTTGGAAGTATAATTTTTCTTCTCACTAACTGCGTTATGTACACTTTGCACAGGTTTCTGGATGGTTTCCACATCAGTCTTTGTAGATGATGGGAGAGTCTGATTAACTCTACTAGTTGTTGAGGAAGTAGATTGATTTTGGTCTTTAATTTTGCTCTTTAATAATGTAGTTACTGGTTTCTCAGCATTAACATTAACACTATTGACTGTTGACTTGGTAGTAGAATTTTTCTTCTCACTAACTGCGTTTTGTACACTTTGCACGGGCTTCTGAATGGTGTCCACATCAGGCTTTGTAGATGATGAGAGAGTCTGATTCACTCTACTAGTTTTTGAGGAAATTTGGTCTTTCATTTTGGTCTTTAATAATGTAGTCGCAACTTTAATAGTTTGGGATGTTGACTTAACAGTGGAATTTTTCTTCTCACTAAGTGGGTCCTGAAGAGAAGGCACATGTTTCTGGACGATGTCTTGATGCTGATTGACATTGCTAATTTTTGAGGAAGTAGATTGAGTCTGGTTTTTCGTTTTGGTGTTTAATAATGTAGCCACTTTCTTTGACACATTAACATTAATAGTTTGGACCATTGACTTCACAGTAGAATTTTTCTTCTCGCTAAGTATGATTTCCTCAGCAACCAGCTTTGTAGTGGATGGAAGAGTCTGATTGACGCTGCTCATTTTTGAGGAAGTGGGATGAGTCTGGTTTTTCAGCTTGGTATTTAATGCTGTAGTTCCTAACTTTGGAAGATTAAGACTACCGGTGTTGGCTGTTGTTTTGGCAGTAGAATTTTTCTTTTCATTAAGTTTGCTTGGAAGAGCAGGCCCAGGATTCTGGACAACATCTACAGTAGGCTTTGTAGTGGATGAAAGAGTCTGACCAATGCTGCTAGTTTTTGAGGAAGTAGATTGACTTGGGTTTTTCGTTTTGGTGTTTGATAATGTGGTTACTGGTTTCTGAACATTTAGATTAATGGCATTCCCTTTTGATTTAGTAGTAGAATTTTTCTTCTCACTAAGTGTGTTTTGAAGAGTAGGCACAGGTTTCTGGACACCATCCACAACAGGCTTCGGTGTGGAAGGAAGAGTCTGATTGGTGCTTTTTGAAGAAGCAGCATGGGTCTGGATTTTCACTTTGGTGGTTAATATTGTGCTTACTAGCTTGGGAATATTGTGGCTAATAGTGTGTTCCTTAGATTTGGTAGTGCCATTTTTATTCTCGCTAAGTGTGCCTTGAAGAGAAAGCACAGGATTTAGCATGAAGAGAAAAACTATTGAGATTAACATTTTATGCTGGATTAAAGTGTCAAGTCTTTCATACAAATAAAAGGTTTGAACTGATTATATAAAGCCTAAAATGCAATTTTTTGATATTTATTTTCCTCAACTATCTCACAGGTATTTGTGATATAATGGATGTGTTCCCTGAAAAAGAGAATAGCTGAGTTAGTTTGCCTTTGCATGCAGTTTTATTCATTCATTCATTGCTCAAATTTGTGTAAATAAAATACATGCCTTTCAAATATATGTCAGGCTAAGATGAGCCGGGCTGGTGGAGCTCAAGGACTGCATTTTTGGAAAAAGCTCTCAAACTTCTATCATCGGAGGGACTGTACCGCAGCAACAGAGCCGTACTGTCCTCCGCTCACAGGAACTGTATGTCTTTGACTCAGCTCTTATGTAATCTTTACTTAGGCCAACTGAATTATTAATAGCATGCATAAATATGAATAAATATACACATTGATCCTTAAAAATGTATATTTTTATTATTTTATTCTTATCTAACATCTACAATTCTCAACATCCACAAACCTTGAACTGACCATTATTTCACAATACAAAACATCCTTGACTCAGCTCTTATGTAATCTTTACTTAGGCCAACTGAAAACTGCCAGGGCAAGTTTCCAGTTTAAAAAAATACTCCAGTCTATTTAAGCGCTCACCACAGAAGCATCCAAAAAATTATTTAATAATTGGAGATGAAGTAAAACTTACACAAAGGCTTCTGTTTAGACTGGCCTAAAAATCATAGTCTTACTGCCAATTATTGATTGTGGCAATGAACACCATGATTATAATAATGTGTAATAGAATGTGTCTTACCTGTGTTTGGAGCTGCTTCTGTCCTGCTCAGTGTTGTATGAAGCTCCTTCCAGCAGCTTTGAGAACCTCCTGTGACTGATTGAGATTAATGGAGATAGAGAGACAGTGAACAGGAGCTCCACTAGCCAAAGGACCCGGGGCAATCAAATCTCCTACTTAAAGTTTTTCCATACTCCGCCTCCTTGCCAATTTACATGGTGCATATTTCCTGCTCCTGAATGGCATTATGGGCGTTTTCTCCTGGTAAGAAATTATTTAACAGACTTACAGTCAGAGTTTATTAATCTATCTGCGATTAGCAGTCTCTCGCCTTTCTGTTTATCAGTTATTGCTTGAGATGAATGCTGTTCTCTAGAATTATGCCTGTTTTTTACCAATATAATGGGAAATGTCAAACATTAAAAAATTTATAATGTGGCATCTGTTTTTACATGTTACAACCACCATGCTGATTAAAGGGACAGTTTAACCAAACATCCTGCTGTAATCAGAGGCGGACAGTAGTGAAGTATTTTTACTTTACTCAAGTAAATTTAAAAAGTATCTGTAGTTTATCAGAGTGTTTTTCTTTGGAAAACTTTACTTCACTACATTGCAAAGCATAATGTCATACGTTTTACTGCACTTCATTTCATAAATAAAACTTTCTTGTACTCAAGTAAATCTTTGAATTACTTTTACTTGAGTAAATGTAAGAAAGTAATAGATTTCTAATGTAATTAAGTATTAAATGATATTTAATATGAAACGTAGTGCAGTAAAAAGTACAATATTATGCTTTGGAATGTTGTGAAGTAAAGTTTTCTAAAGAAAAACACTCTAAAGAAAAGGACTTTTACAGCAGAGTAAAAATACTTCACTACTGTCCGCCTCTGGCTGTAATCAGGTTTCAGGTTTGTAATAATTGTAGCATCAAACTATAATGTTTTAAATAGCAGGATTTACACTTTAATCACTTTTAACACAAATGCACCATTTAATCTGATTTTCCCTTTATTTGATCACAATTATGACATTAGATTATACTTCACCTGCCCTCAGACCATAATTTACTACTTCATATAGATTAAAATATATGCAACATGTAAGAAAATCAAAAATATAAATATATCTTTAATAAACATTACTTACATTTTATAATATTTTTGTGTCACTTGTTTTTGTAAATCTATAATATTTATAAAACATATATGTGACCCTGGACCACGAAACCAGTCTTAAGTAGCATTCATAGCAATAGCCAAAAATACATTGTATGGGTCAAAATTATCGATTTTTCTTTTATGCCAAAAATCATTAGGATATTAAGTAAAGATCGTGTTCCATGAAGATATTTTGTAAATTTCCTACCGTAAATATATTAAAACTAGTTTAATAATATGCATTGCTAAGAACTTAATTTGGACAGCTTTAAAGGCGATTTTCTCAATATTTCGATTTTTTTGCACCCTCAGATTCCAGATTTTCAAATAGTTGTTTCTCAGCCAAATATTGTCCTATCCTAACAAACCATACATAAATGGAAAGCTTATTTATTCAGCTTTCAGATGATGTATAAATCCCAAAAATTGACCCTTATGACTGGTTTTGTGGTCCAGGGTCACATTTGATAAAAACTGAATATAAAGTCAGCTCTTTTCATATTGCCACTGCAATGGGTTCATTAACATCACACAGGTTTTTATTTATTTATTTATTTTTTTTTGTTAAATAATTTCCCTCAATTTAAGCAGATACTATTAGTAAGGATTTTTTTTACCTGGCAGTGTTGTACTCATATTACATGATAAGCAAAGAAAACACATTTTGTGAGAAATGAACGCAAAGGCTACACCCCAAAATAGTTGAAAACCTCTGTCACATGTTGGACAGATGTATCTAAATTAACTCCATACACAATTATTTTGACCTTTTCCACAAATATCTGGCTTGTACTTTTCCTTTCTAGCACCTGATGAGAGTTTGAGTGGGAAAATCCTCTAGTGGAGCACAGACAGTGTTTGTCGTGTCAGCTGATGGGAAATGATGGGTGGCCACTGCTCACTAGCGCCACCGCTTGTATGATATTTATATCACGCTAAAGCAGGCCTACATCAGAGACCACCGTTCTGTTACTGACCTGACCTTACCCTCTTAGTCAAAGCAGTGCCAAGCCTTGAGCTGTATACACACCTAACAAAACAACCATCTACTGACAAGCATTTCTGGGAATTCATGAGCCAAAAAATCACATTATACAGTATAGAGTATTGTTCATTTGTTTCTGTGGAAAACTTTCTATCTACCACTATCTAAACAAAACACTTTAATCCAGTTATATTTGCATTTGCTTGTAATTTATAGACTACGTTTGCTGTTTATGAGAAATGGCTTCTTTACATAACTAAATACCTGTGTTGACTAATCCATTTAAATGCACACAAATTATTTAAAAAAATCTCAGTATTGTCCACAAATAACACAGATGCTTTGATGCCATTAACAGTGCAAATATTTACTCTTAAGTCAGTAATTAGTAACTTTGGAACAAGCTCCATGGTTCAAGCAGTTCCATGACTGGTTGTCCATCTGCTTTGTTCCAAAAACAGCTTGACCATCTTAAGCTGGTATAACCAGGTTGTTGTTGATTTGTTACTTGTCCAAGATGGTCTACCAGCTAATGACCAGTTTGCACCAAATAGAAACCAGCTACCATGTTCTAAAAACCAGCGTGACCACCTACTTTTTTTGTTTGTTTTTTGACCCAATGATGGTCCACCTGCTAATAACCAGCTAGAAACCAGCTGCAATGTCCCAAAAACCAGGTTGACCACCTTCAACTGTTTTTGTTTCTTTGGTCTATGATGATCTGCCAGCTAATGACCAGCTTAAACCAGCTAGAAACTAGCACTATGTTCCAAAAACCAGCTTGATAACTAAAAATGACATGACCAGCTGGTAGCTGGTTTGTTAATGTTCTAAATTTGTTGGCCTCTTAGACCAGCTAGAATCTAGCTAGCTACCATGTTCTAAAAACCAGCTTGACCAACTTTTCCTGTGAGTAGTTATGTCATGGAATGTCTGAGAAGTACGTAATTGTCAGCACTGGTCGGCATTTGTCACTGCGGTGGGAATTAGCCTTTAATATGGTAAGATCAGGTTGTTGCTGGTTTGTTGCCAGTCAAAAATGGTCTACTTGCTTGCACAAGCTAATATACAGCTAGAAACCTACCACCTTAAGTTGGATTTCCAGCATGGACTTGAAAATCAGACCTTGCTGACTGATTTGATTTGAGTTCTTTAATATATTTTGGGCTGCACCAACATGAAACCTGGCAAGGTCTTGCTGGAAACATTCAAAAATTCAAGATATGCATAACAAGTAAATAAAGGTGATGTTAAGTGATGCAGAAGCATTTACCTAAATACAGCATTTGACCTTTTCCCAAATGAAAATATGTGCATTTCTGAGTCTGCATATTTGTTCAGGCTTTACTGATTCAAATGTAACGAGAAGTTTAATGGTGACCGCGCAAACAAGGTGAGCATTGACCTGAGCCCGATTGAAGTGACGGCCAATCCCACCGTGTTGCTTATGTTGGACAGACTCTCTGAGATTAGAATAATATGAGAGCATAAAGCCTGGGTCTGTTCCTCTCTACCTCTACTTTCAGCGCTCGCACCTCTTTATGTCCTCCCTCCTCCAAAAGATTCAAACAAGCATAATAAACAAGAGTTTAGCATGCCAAGCACTAATAAACATAACACAGACAAACGCATCTTCTTGACTTTCACTGGAGATTGTATTAGACTTCTATTGAAATTATTATTTTTGTGACATTGATTGTGATGTTATGATTGCAAGACAAAGTGTAAGCACATAAAAGTCCATTAGTGTGAATCCTATTTGAATTTGAGATAAAATCAGTCAGAACATCATTAACACCACATGCACTTAGGATTGCATCATATTTGAATGTTTATTAATTAAAATACCATTTACTATGTATATTTAACTGCACTTGTCATACTAAGATCAATAGGCAAGTCAGATATATTTCAGTAGCAAAATTCAACAAGAGATTTGTTATACTGATGAATTCTTTAGTGTTATGGCCAGTTAACGCTTGAGGTATTCGGCCAATCATAACGCACTGGATAGCTGGCCAATCAGAGCACACCTCGCTTTTCAGACCGATGAGCTTTGTAAAAATCGATGCGTTTCAGAAAGGCAGGGCATAGAGGAGAAACAATAATGTACAGTATGTGGAAAATAATGTGTTTTTTTAACCTTAAACCGCATAAACACATTTCATTACACCAAATACACAAAATAATGTTCTTTTATGCAGCATCATATGACCCCTTTAAAATATCCGGCTCGTAAGAGTCATTAATTCAGAAATTGGAAACTATTGGGGCTTATGTAAAAAAGTATGTTCTATACTATGAATGTGTGTACTTTGCCTACTAAATCTGTCATGTTGCCATTTTCATGTGGTCTACGGTGTCAGCTGCATCTTGGCAAATGAATTCATACGTATTATTTTGTGGTATCCTGTAATTTTACGTAATCAACATTCAATTTAGACTTCAAATTTGTAAGTTGGATAAAATAGGACTTATTTTGGGGTGGTGCTATATGTTTACATTTATAGTGAATCATTTAGCAGATGACTTTATCAGTTTAAGCAAATTGAATAAACCAAGGGAGTAACAAGTTTATTTTATCAAATACTTTTAGCATTTGCTCTTTAGATTAAAGAAACAAACGTGATTGCATTTGCCTGATAATTATGCAAATGTAATTGTACAGTCCAAGTCTTTGTTTATTGATTCTAGAGTCTTAATTAAGGGGTTCAATTTTCATCTTATCTCAGTCAGTCTATCACAACCCTCATTTCTCCATCCCTAGCTATCTTGGCTAGGGATGCACCGATACCACTTTTTCCAGTACTTATATTCACTCGGCAAGCTCGCGCATCTGCGCCGCCGCGCGCTCAATCCACTCAGCGTGCTTTGTTTATCAGCTCGCGCACATCAGCTATACAGGTGTTAATACTGA